ACAACTCGCAGAGCAATTGAGCGTTAGTCAACAAGCTGTTTCCAATCGCCTACGAGAGATGGGAAAGATTCAGAAGGTCGGCAGATGGATCTGTGTTTGGTGGGACCAGAAGGGTGTGGTCTATTAAACGATTAATACCAAACGCTACCAACAACAATTGATCGATTTGAACCGTTCGCTACTCGAGAAACGATCAGAATATCGAAAAAGGCAACACAAGATCATTTTTCTCCATGACATTGCTCCATCACATACGGTAAAACCTGTTCGCGACACGTTGGAAGCACTCAGTTGGGAAGTGCTAGCCCATGCGGCTTACTCACCAGACTTGGCTCCTTCCGATTACCATTTCTTAGCATCAATGGGTCACGCACTTGCTAAGCAGCACTTTGGTTCGTACGAAGATGTGAAAAAATGGCTCGATGAATGGTTCGCGGCAAAAGGGGAAGATTTTTACTGGCGTGGTATCCACAAATTACCCGAACGATGGGAAAAATGTGTAACTAGCAATGGAGCATACTTTGAATAAATCACTTTTTATCATTTTTTCGAATTTAACGTGTTTTTGGAAAAAAATTCCGCATTTCATACTTGTACACCTGATCAGACATGAGTTTCCATTTATTCGGGGACAACAAAGAGCAACTGGCCGCCGTGTTTCTTATAAACTAATCCGTCTCGCATTTCATATTAGGGGTCTTCAACCTCCTCTAATTTGTTTGCTAGCTCTCTTATTCTCGTATGTCGGTAACGTCATAAGGTTCCACTCGAAAGGATTGTCCTCGATTACTAGAATGCCGAACGATCGGCTCAATGCGTCGACGTGTCTCATTAGCGAATTTTGATTATGCTTTACCATAAAATCAAAACCTTGTAGCTCGAAACTCCATCTAGCAATTCGTTCATTGATATCCCGTTTTTCTAACGTTCATCACAGCACTACAATTCGAAACAATAATGAATGAGATTCCTTGTAAATAGATACGGAATCTCCTCAACGCGTACACAAAAGCTACCAGGTATGTAAATATGAAACCGGAATTTAACAATAGATGGCCATAGCTGTCAATGTAGTTGCCGTCAGACCGCGTCATTGACGCCATTTCCTTGTTCTGACATCTGACAAAGATTTTCAACTCACAACAATACAAGTTTCAAACAACAGTATAGTTTGTAATAGCGTTGAACATGTCGAATTTTGTGCCAGGAAACTACGATTTGCGGACAGCATTGATTTTCTGTTACAATTTGAAGAAAACTGCTGCAGAATCGCATCGCATGCTTGTCGAAGCTTATGGTGAGCATGCTCTTGGTAAATCACAGTGCTTTGAGTGGTTTATAAAATTCAAAAGTGGCGATTTTGATGTGAGAAACGAAGAACGTGGAAAACCACCGAAAAAGTTTGAAGACAGCGAATTGCAAGCATTGTTGGATGAAGATGACGCTCAAACTTAACAACAACTCGCGGATCAATTGAATGTGACACGAGAAGCCGTCTCTATACGTTTGAAATCCATGGGAAAGAACCAGAAGATGGGAAAATGGGTTCCACATGAACTGAATGAAAGACAGCAGGAAAACCGAAAAACCACTTGCGAAATGATGCTCGCCAGGTACAAAAGAAAGTCATTTCTCCATCGAATTGTGACTGGCAGTGTACATTAGAGGATACTAAGGTTCAATAAGTATAAAGCAATATTAATAATGAAGGGCATAGAACCAGTATAATATGTATATATATATGTAATAAACAATTTAAATACAATAATCATACAGACGTTTCGACTGCGTTTGAGTCATTTTCAATGTACGGAATAATTAAAGAAATAAATAAGTAAAATTGTAAGATCGCAACTGTAACATTTCCAATATATGGAATTAATAAAAAAAAAAAAATTTAATTGTAAGATCGCAACTGTAACATTTCTAAAATACAAATTAACACTCAAAAACGAATACATTGGTTCTAACATAATAACTGACTATAAGTATAAAAATGTATAAGTTCCGATTTCAAGGCCGCAATCAATCTAGATGTGTATAACCAAGTAAATCAAATTTAACTTTATGTCGCAATCCGACACATTGTAGTTACATTGAAATTATATTAGATAGTGATCACCGTATAGTTACGTTTTACTGGAGTTATTGCTTCCAATTGATAAGGTATTTTAATTTTTATTTCTATTTTTGCTTTACATAA